AAGTAATCATATACCGTACTTGTTACTTCGTCAAAAAAGGAACGAAATTACCGTACTTGTTACTTCATCGGAAAGCAACGAAAATATGTTACCCGTTACTTCACCAAAAAGTAACAAAAACGCGTCACTCGTTCCTTCCCTTAAAAATGTAACTACCGTGAAATCCCGTAAGGGTGCCCTCCCCCGAGAGATCGCCCATCCCGTTTTTCTGGCTAAATATCCGTAACATGGAAATTCCGAAAGACCGCCCACTCCCCGATTCCCGTCGGACATCACGGGATGTCCGAATCACATCATCACATCAATCACAATCTTGGGTACCGATACGCGTGTGATAAGCGAGTTCGCAGCGGGTTTCCGCGGTTTCTTCCCTGATCTGCCCGCGCAATATCGGTTCCCGTGACATGCGAGTTCGCGGCGAGTTCCCGAGTTTTTTGTTCGCGATCTCCTCGCGCGATATCGATTCCCGTGGCACGTAAGTTTGTTGCCGGTTTCCGCGTGTTAATCGCACCTTAAAACACGAATTGGCTGCATGTGCCGTCAGAAGTTCACAGTGCATTTCCACGTGTTTATCGCGTTGTGAAACGCGAATTTACCGTGTCCGCAATCTGCGGTGTCAGTTCCCGCGTCACGTGGTTTGTGGCGGGTGCCGCCGTGTTTATCATTAATTTTTTTTTTAAATAAAGTTTTGCTTTCTCATTTTTAAAGATAGCTCAGGTCATGTTTCCACCAATTATGTTATCAGTTTGGGTGGGCGTCCTTAACCCTTTGCCTACGGCAAAAGTTTCGAGAAAACGATTTGAAAGTACTTTTTTTTCTTATGTGTGCTATAAATTTAACATGCAATACAAAGGCCAAAAACAAATGCCAAAAATTTATATGAGAAAATTTTTGAAAATACTGCTAAAGAAAAGGAGACTAAAGTGCAAAAGAAAAGGGGACCAAAGTTCGGCTTCACTGCATTACATCACAGTGGGGTCAGAGCGGTTATCTGAGACACAACATCTACATGAAGAGCTTCACATCTCTAATATCTATTCTCCCAAGGGTTTGTCTCACGCTTACGTTGGGCTTTGTGTGGTAGACCTCGAAGCACGGTATGGTACAGAGTGCCGCACAGCAGTCTTTGCACCAGGTCCGTGTTTTTTTCCTGGTTGCTTTTGTCAGGTCCTTCTGTTATCGCTTAGAGCAAATGAAACAGCGTCTAGTCGGCTTCTGGCTTTTTGTGGTGGGTGGAAGGTGCCTGGGAAAATGGCGTTCAACGAGTTGTGACATAAGGTTGTTTCAGCTTCTTCCCTTCTTTCTTCAACTCCCAGGTTGAACGTTTTCAGCCGTCAGTGCCTCCACAAGGCTCATGCGGAAGTCCAGATGTGCGTCTTTGCCACCGCTCTCTTTTTTGAGCAAGATGAAGGCATGGAGCACTGCCATGTCGACAAGATGGCGGAAGATGTTCTTGTAGAACACCTTCTGCTGGTGAGGAGATCGGTAGTAGAAAAGATTCTGGTCATTTTTGTCCACACCACCCATTGTGTGGTTACAATCAGGAACCAGCTCTGGGTTTTGCAGTGTCTCGTTGCACTTGTTGACCACCTCTTTCATTGCTGCACTGTACACAGTGCTCAGAAGGGATACACACTTCTTGTCTTGCCACTGAAGGGCCAAGCACTTCCCATATTGAAAGGCATTCACTTCCCCTTTCTTCACCTTGGTTTTTTTTTTTGGAAGGCATTTCCTTTCGTGTAGCTCGCGCTGTGCCCCACATGTCTGTTTTTCTGGTGATCAAAGTGTCCACCGGCTTCGGTGAACAGTAGAAATTGTTTACAGTCAAGCAGTACCCCTGATCGAGGTGTTGTGCCGAGAGCGCAGAAACAACCTTCATCCTCATGCTACATGAGCTGGTCACTGTGTACGGTTCCTTTTCCCTTGTAGAGGATCATGTTTGATACGTAGCCACCTTCAGACTCACATAGCAGAAAAACTCGGTGCACAAACCCTGCTTGTTTCAAGGGCAAGTACTGCTTCCAACTCAAACGTCCTTTATATAACAGAAGACTTTTGTCAACTGCTACATCATGTTTGGGAGTGTAGACAGATAAGAAACTGTCATTTATCATCTCGAACATGGGCCAGATCTTCCACGGTTTTGGTTGGGGATGGTTTGATTTGTTAATCTCAGCAGTTTTGTCAACAAAATGCAGGAACTTCATGATCATTTGAAAGCGATTTCTGCTCATGATTGCACCAACGAATGGTGTCTCGAGGATTTCCCTCTTGGACCAGTACATAGCCATGCCTGGCGTCTGAATTATCCCTTGAAGAATAATTATTTTTATGAAAAGCTTGAGCTCTTCATTTGATAGCTCTATCCACATGGCTGTGCATGCCGTGGGCCTTACAAGAAGTGCACAGCGTAGCGATTTGTCTCGCAGACGACGAGATCAGTAACATCTGAAGTAAGGAAAAGTTTGAAGTATCGCAGACAGTTTACATCACCTTGCACATCGATGTTCAGGCCAGGCGTAGCAGTGAATGCAAAACTTGGAGGGCCTGGAGGGGGATTTTCTACGTTGATTCTAGTCCAGTGCCGACACGCTGACACGATGTCCTCATTGGAATCGGAGTCATCTGAGCTAGCATCCAATAACTCATTTGCATCGCTCTCGCTGTCCGATGAAAAAGAGATGCCGCAGTATCTTCGTTTTTGCCCCAATTTTGAGGCAAGATCATCACTATGAACGCAGCGACCAGAAGTTGACGCCACCATTTTTAAACCCCCTCTTGCGTGCGTTTGAACAATTTTCTGCCAAATTCAGAGATCTACTACCTTTTTTATTTATTGTCAAGCGCCTTCTATCCATGGCGGAGCTATCTAGAAACACGTAAACCAGCCCAGTTCGCCCATGGTAGCGTATTGGAGCCCTAATCAATGTGGACGAGCCCAGCTCATCTTCGTGGGGAGCGGTACAGACAGTGTGGACCAACCCAGGTCGTTCATGGTAGGGAAAGGGTTAAGGGATTTAACGTAGGTCGTTACTTTCTTATCAAAAATTGTAACCAGGTACAAGTAATGCGTTACCTGTAATGTGATACTCAACAGCTGATACCAAGTCGAATCTATGCCCCACGCAAGCAGCTTTACGTGGCATCGTAAATCCAGCAGTGCGGCCTTCTATTTGGGGGGTGATGTTGTGGCATGGCACTTGTTTCAGTTGCAGCTAAACTTTCCTGCCCTTTGTTGCCGAATGCTAGTTACAAGCGTGGCGTGTCAGCCATATGTTTCGGAACATTTGTAGTTTAGGATTCTATGCAATCTATGCCCCAAAAACTGGCCGCATGCAAGAAATGCTAAGTTGCACTGCATCTGGACTTCTTCGAATTTTACGAACAAATTTTCCTCCTGAATGCTCGAAGTGAATCCGTTCGTTAATGGAATTGGTGATTGCCAAGAAATTTACGATTGCAATGGACTTAAATTACCTTACCTAAGAAAGCATTGTACAAATAAACAAAAAAGAAGAAAAGCAAATGGCGAGATTTTAGTGTTTTGGAATGGCTTTTCAGAAACTGTTATGCCTGATTCACATAGTGCAATTTTGCTTGTAATTTCGCAGTTGCAGCGCAGTCAAGTACTGCAGCTTCCAGCAGGCTTTGTTTTGCTGCAAGTGCGCCTTCGCAACTGCGACTTCGCGATTAAAATCGCACCATGTGAATCAGGTTTTACGTTGGATACTTTTCATCGCAGCAGATGCTGGCATCCATGCCGCTTGTTGAACTCTGCTTCGAGTCGTTTGCAGTGTACAAAATTGTTTGGGAGAAAACGCAAAACGCTGGATTATTGGAACGACAGCATGTGTCGGCTAAACGCTTGTCCCCCTGGCATGCAATCAAGAACTTCCAAATTCCGCTTCTATGCAACAGCTGCAAGTGCATTTTCGGCGCTTCTTACAGGGCACCGGTGCACTGTGGAGAAGCGAAGCCTACGGAGGGGGCACTGTGGTTGTATGTGTCTCGCTTCGCTGCAGTGCAGACATGTGCTTAGGGGAAATGCAAAATGCACTTCCCTAGAGCAGGATGGTGCACTCGCGTGTGTCAAGTATTTAAAAAGAATGGTTTCATGTTGATGTGACAATACTTAAACTTTCAAAATATGACTGCGGCCTCTGTGCATGTTATTGACTATGTATGACTTTTGTGCGTCATTGGTAGGAATTGTCCTTCCAGATTTCATGAGATTGAACCCCTTAACCGTTTTAGGTTTTGGGAGAATTTGTGACCCTCATCTACTTAATTGTTTAAAATTACATTTGTTGCCCTCAAAATCAATTTCTAGCCACAAACAAAATAAGAGCGAAATTGTAAAAAAAAAAATTCAGTGATGCCGTCCGTTGGCAGAGCTTCAAGCTAAGCCATGAGCGAGCCTGGTTCGTCTAAAACGGTTAAGTGTGTGAACCGGGAAAAGCAGACGAGCTATATTCGTCCTGGACAGTTATTGGCGGCTCCACATCGATGAGCTAGGCTCTTCCAAAATGGTTCAGGTGTTAAGAAAGGATATTTCGGACTCTCGTCTCATATTATCTAGGCTTATGGGTTTATTTTTTTGTCATGATACTGATACCCCTATCCGGGCCTTCATCTGTTTCAGGGCAAAGTCAAATTATAAAGGTTAAATATGAGTATTAAACAGGCTTTAGATGTGTACGAGTGGAAGCTGGGGAATAACTTTAACGAACTCAGCTGGATTTTATATCGAAAGGCGCATCATTGTTGTATCATTGTAAAGCTAAATAAATATTAAAAAAAAGCTTTGTGTCTTAGGTTAAATAAGATTTGAACAGTTGTATTTGTGACCTTAAGGACTTTCACAAGTTTGAATTGTAGCAAAAGGATAAGCTACATTTGCTTCTGATTTTTAACTGATGTGTCTGTGCTGTTTCATGAAATGTACATGTAATCTTGTTGACACCACTGAAAAATGATTCTTCTCATCACTTGAATTGCAGGGCCTGAAAGGAAGCAAGACAGCTTGTTCCAGTGCTGGGGCGTAAAACGGATCCGTGTGGCTGTGACCGTCTTCATCATCTTCAATGTCCTTGTGCTGTTGCTCATTAACTCTGGCGGCCGCAATGGCTCATTGTCCTCCAGCTTCAAGTCAGAGCCTTGCGACAACTGCCACATTGGCAGCCCAACATATCGGGACATCAAAAAGGACATCTTCCACCTTCCTCTACTCCAAGATGTGGACATGAGCCGTTACTATTTTCCTCTCAAGACTGCTTGGTGCTATACGAACGGCTCTTCTGTTAAGCAGTCTCAAGACGCTGAACACTGCGTCTGCAAACCAGATTTCTTTGGTAAGGATTGTGGCATTCCACAAATCATCTGGAGCTCAAACTTCCTAGAAGAAGGCAAAAAGTTGGGCGTTTGGGTGAAACGGCGCAAGAGACCACGACGACTCATCAACGTGATCACCGTTACCAATGCATCACAGTTTGACTTCCTCAGGCTTCAGCTCGACTACCTGGGTGCTATTGTGGAGTGTTTTGTCATTGGCTATGAGGGAAGTTCGGACCTGTTCAGCAGAATCAAAGAGGAGTTTGGTAAGAGGCCCATCTACTTCAGAATCGTGTATGTTGACCTAAATGATGCAAAGCCTGGTACAGCTAACGAAGTGCTCGCAGACAGTGTTTGGAAGAGGCTATCAGACTTCCGCATAGACGACCTCTTCATTTGGAGCAACTTGACTGCGATTCCCATGCTAGATGTGCTCAACTTTATGAAGCTGTACGATGGCTTTTCGGAACCAGTGAAGTTTTATCTGCGACAGCTGGCTTACAGCTTCCTTTGGGAGCCCAAATCTAGTGATGCACCGAGCAACCTGACTCGTTCCTCATTATTTGTATCAAGTTTTTCCATGAATAGCATCCTGTGCCTCTACAACTGGAAGTGTGTCGCGTCTGCTGAGACTTCGCAATTCCCAGCATCTCTGCTTGAGAAGTTTAAAAAAAACAATGGATGGGCCATCGAGCCCTGGACCCTTGGTAGCCGGGAGCTGCCCTCTGGTTGGGACTGTCAAGACTGCCTCGCGATTGCTGACTCCTCAGCTCTGTTCTCAGAAAAGTTCAACAATTACAGCAGCAACAGCTCTCTCAGTACTGAGCGACAGGCGGTTTTAAAAACGCTGCTAAAAGAACGCGGCTTTAATCATTCTAATGTGCAGCTGATAAAGCGCCATCAGCCTGCAGAGATTGCTCCAAAGTTGCTTCTGGACAAGCCTGGATCTCTCTGGTACTTTGTTCCTTTTGCACTGGCTGATGCTCATAACTGGTGAGAGAGCAGTTGCTGAACAGCAGTGGTACTCTCCCCCTATGTCTCTGTGCAGACATAAGAAGGTGTCTGTCTCAGTCGCATTAAAAAAAGAAAAAAAAAAACAACAAGGGACTCAAAAGTTTAGCTTTGGCAAGTAGCAATATTTGAAGGCACTATCTGATTGTGTCTCAAAGACAAGTGTGTGACAGGCACCGTTGTGTGCTCTTTTTTGTTGCGTTAAAGCCAGTTGTGATAATGCCTACTTTTTCTCCTGCATCACTTTTCCAGATGCTCATGAGAATGATAAGAGGCATCTATGTGCTGTACCTGTGGGTGCCTTTTGACACAGTTTGACTTTGCAGCTTGTGTGGCATTGGTGCCAGGGATTTTCTTGGCAGACACAAGTGGGAGTTCACATTTACTTCCCTTGCCTTGCATTTCTAAGGATGCAATAACATGTCCATCCTTTCATTATGCCAACACCAAATATGAAATAATTGTTATGATGATGTTTGAACCTTTATAGAGCTTCTACCCTGCAACACCAAAATACAGAGCCATTAGTTAAGAACTATGTAACGTTCGAGATTGCTAAGTTTTGAAAAACATGTGGGTGTTCACCTCTCCTCTTGCCTTGCATTTCTAAGGAGGCGATGGCATGTCCATCTTTTTTTATCACTCCAGCACCAAGTATGAAACATTTATTAGGATGATGTATGATCCTTTAGAGATCTTCTACTTCGCAACACAAAACTCTTGGTTGAAAAGAATTATTTAGAGTTGGACAGCCTTGAACAAACAATAGTTTCCTGTCCTCTTTACAAAACAGTTGCATTAGCCTCATTCACAAAATGTTGGTCCAGATTTGTTAGCTGTTATACTGTGCTTAGCCTTGTTCAAAATTTCCTGTTAGATATATTTGTCATTAATACAGTGCAGTCCACTTATAACGATTTTTATGTGAAACTTGCAATATTGAACAGTTATGCTTGCTTTGTTGACAGTTGTGTTTTCGTATATTTCTCCCATCTGTGATGGTAAGAGATGTACTGAGTCCTAGCTTGTATCAAAGATATTTTGCAGCGCTCTTTTGCAATCCCAGCGAGCAGCTCTAAATAATTTTTTTTGAGTTTCGTTGATTGCTTTTTGCACTATGTCTACCCATGTTTTGATTTTTGCAGTGTGCTTTCCGATTGTGGTGTTTTGTGACCGAGCCGCGTATGACAGGGTGTATTCCTTCTCTATGCACATTGCTAAGAGCTCCTGCCACTGTTATGTTTGGTCAGAGTTTTATGAAGCCTGTGATAGCAGTTTATCTTGTTTCAAGCTCTGTTGGAGGAATAACTATTTATGATCACCTTCTCCAAGAATTCTTTTCTTTGAGATTCGGCTTTTTTTCCCCCCTCTGCCACCTCATACCTAGCCAATTTGCCAATGACGAATACAAACCAGTTGAACGTTCCCACAGGTGATATGAGTGCAGAATTGAGCAGATTGTTTGATAGTGCTTTAGGGTGACACTGAAGATGCCGGTGTTTGTTAAAACTGAATGTATCTGCATTTCATACGTCTTCCATGACCCTGTCTTCCCTTGCCTCCTTCTAATGGACCATCTGATACACAAATGTGTTCAGCGGGGCAAAGAATGTCCCAGCCCTGCTTTGTCGAGCCTTCTGTTTGTGAAGCACATTTCCCGCCAGCTTTGCGCAGAGGTCCAGTCTGGTACATCCCGGACGTTTCTCATTTCCACGGTTGCCCGCCCATTGATTTTCTTTCAATAAAAATGTTTGTTGCTGCCAAAATATAAAATTCATTATTAATCATTGATATTTCACCGTAATATCAGCGCTTCTGAAATGCAAGCAGTGAAAGATATGTTTCATGTTCTGCTTACACGTGTAGCTTAGTTGCTGTTGCTCTTGATTGTAGCTCGTTCCATCCATACAAGGACCAAGTGTCAACATTGTTCCTACCGTTTCTTTTTTTCTTCTCCCCCTATTTGCGGTACGGAAAAGCGAAGTGAAATGTATAGATTGATGTTCAAAAAGCAAAAAGGTTCTCAAATATTAGATATATAGATATTCTGCAGAAATGCCACTTGGTCTGTTTCGCACCTATCTATCAATAGCATTTTTTTTTTTGCCGACGTCGGCTTTTTGGTTGTAGAATCCGCAGCATTTGAATCGTATAGCTCGTACGATCCGACATACTTAAATTTTGCAAGTACCAGGTGATAAACACGGAAAGTAAAATTCGGCTTCGAAGGTGGATTGTGAGCGTCAACCTTGTTGACCAAGGAGTCTTCACCCAGGGTTGTTGGCAGTGACGTTAGCGCTCAGATAGGGAAGCGGGATAACTAGCAAGTCAAGTGTATTGTCCGTAGCATTCGTGAGATTATTGTGTCAGAAAAGCCTATAAGAATCTATAAGCATGAAAAAACCAAGAAGCCTCGCTTCTGTGAGGTATTCGGGAGGATGAAGTCTGCCGAAAGCCCAGTCAACGCATGGAAGGTTAAAATCGCCATATATTTGCACTTTATATTTGCTAAACTCAGTTTACAATAATAATAATAGTAATGTTTATTTTCCGTCAAAACAGTGAATGACTGAGGGAAACCGAGGAAAAAAAAAGCAGCTTGACGAGCCCCCCCCCCCCTCCCCCCTTTTCCTCACATTTGGCAGCAGTGGCACAAAAAAATATAAAGATGAAAACGCAGCAATAAAAAAAAAAACAAAAAAAAACGTAAACAGGTCCAAGATGATTATAGACAAAAAAATGTGCTGCACTCAACAAAAATGCATACAGGCACAGTATAGTTTGGTGCAAACGTAAAAAAGTAACACGTTCATTACAATCAAGGTTTTAAAGGTCGTCATACATTTACTGTAAAGTCATATTTATAGAAATAATGCTCAGAGATCTTGTACTGATGAAGTAGGGAGATTTTCCTTCAAATTTCAAAGTTAAGCAAGTTAGGAAGTGTATTTAACATTTGTTCACGATACTTTTTTTGTGCTTTTAGTATTTTCTGTTTTGGGTGCTATAAGTTCTCACACTTGGTGTTAGGGACGCAAGTTCAAGGAAACTATGATCATTTTTTTTGTACGTACGATTTAAATGTCACGCACAGTCAATATTTATGCACGGAAAAAGGTTCGCTAGGATGGTCATATGATAACATTACAGATGGTTCTCAGAATTTCTTTTTTCTGTAAGACAAATTCTATTTAAATTGGTATCTGTAATTGCCTGTAGCCTGGGGTTTATTGCCCCAGACGATTCCAATAACTTACGAGAAAGAAATAATTATAAATTAGTAATTTAGCATTTTGTGGTAGGATTCGACGGTGCCGGTAGCCAACAACGCGTGACTGTTTTACCAAAATATATACATTTTCATCCCATCTTGTATGATCTGTGAAAATGACACCAAGTGTTCTAAAACCAGAAAGAACATGTTTTTGTTGAATTTAAGACAATAGGACGAGTTATGTTATCATGCTCGTTTTCTAGGGCAAAATAACATTGCTTTTGTTATCATTAATTTGCAAAATTTGCATTTTCCCTCGTTTGTATATCAAGGTGTGAAATGCAAGTTGACCATTCCGATTTATAGGCGGAAACGTTAAATTTCCGATAAGGTAGTGACCGCGTAACGAAATCTCGAGTAAACTGCACTCATCCGGGTCTTCTGTGGCGGTCGACGGGACGTCTTTGAATACCCAGTAAAACACGACTCTCCTGTCCGCATTCTTGTGAGGTATATTAAGAGAGCTCGTGTCTTACGACGCGCGTCGCGTTCCTCAATGGGCGGTCAGGTGGCCGTCTGGCCATTTGTTGTGGAACACGCCACCAGCGCACTGCGCTCCGTACCGCGTAATGTACTACGAGCCAAGGTAAAGCCGCGGTCGGATGCGAATACATCATACAAAAGACGCCATGTTAGCAACATGCTTGTGTATATGAAGCAGACTTCTTCCAACATGCTTGAGACGTGTCCACCCATCATGTCTGCAGCGAATGCCTTGCCTTTTGTACGATGTTTCATGGGCAGTGTGACGACGTCTCAATGCGGAGCGCAAGTTCGTCTGCTTGTTGCCCAGTGGCTGCGATCATGTCAGAACGCCACACTCTTATTGGCTGATTGAAAAAAGAAACTTTCAGCCTTTGCACTCTGGTGAGAGAGAGACGAAACTTTATTGTTCACACCATGGTCCGGTGCCCGGTTCGAATCACCACTAGTCCCCCAACACAGCACGGACGTGCTGTACAAGTAGGGGCAGTAGTGCACTAACGAGTTGGGTAGAGGGGGGCGAGCCAGCCTGCCCAGTCGTGAAGTCGCGAGGAGGGTGGGAGAGTGGAGGGGAGGGAAGGGAGGGAGCATTGGGCGTGGGGAAAATGCCATAGCATGTGTACATTGGAGGGGTAGTCCTGGCAGTGGGGCATGGGTCAGAAGGGAAGAGGTCTGAGCTCTCCGGAGAATGGACGTCCTCTCTGCTGAAGGAGGCGGGAGGAAAAGGAAATTCTGTCATTGCCTGTCTGCGTTCCCGTAGAAGGGTGGTTCTGTCTTTGTGTATAATTTTGCGATGGAACCTGGGATCATTCTGATCTGGCCAAGCCTCCGACGGTCCCGGAGAGGGCTCGTCGCGGGTGAGCGTGTGCGCGCGTACGTTGCCCTCGATATTTTGGTGGCCAGGGATCCATTGGATAGACATATGAAGGGTGGGGTGCAGGGTGTTGGAGGATTTGGTGTGGATCTGAGGAGGGAGTATATTAAGCAGAAGGTCGCGGCAGGCCGACTGACTGTCCGTCCGGATGAGAATGTTGCCTGTGGGATGACAGGGAAGCGTGATGGTCTCAGATATGGCAGAAGGAAGACCAGCGAAGCTGCACTATGGTGGGAATGAAGTAATGGCCGGCCGCAAGTCGGCAAGCCAGAGAGGAAAGGCTGGAAAAGTTGCCGCCGTCGCTCATAGATGGCGGTAGCTGTCCAAAGTTTTGTGTTATCATTTGTTTGCTGGCGGACACGATACTCCAGAAACTAACCATTAACAGCTCCGCTGTAAAAAAAAAAAAATAGTGGGCAGTTTACAAGGCATGTAACATTGAGGTGTAGCCCCTATCTTTCCAATCAGAACTCGGCGTTGTTCTGAAGTTCTGCGCAAGAAGCTCACGACTTGCTTTCCACGTAGGGATGACGCTTGAGACGTGATCCCGCTGCTGAGTTGTTCGGTGGGCGTTTAACCAATCGCTCCATCGGAGCTCTCCAGTGAATGTGCCGAGAAAGAGGAGGAGACGCGAACAGGCGGGACGTCAGGACGCCAAACTCTCATTCGAATGATTAGTGGCTCTGTCTCCATTCCACTCGTCGAACGCCTTCAAATGCGAGAGCCGGACGCCGGCGCTCCGGCGCGCTAACCCGTTCGACGAGTGCGGTGGAAACAAAGGCTTCTATGCGGAGCGCAAGTTCGTCTGCTTCTTGCACAAGGGTTGATATGATGTCAGAACGCCGAGCTCTTATTGGCATGACTGTAACAAGTAGTGGGTAGACCTCGAGCCGTCTAGCATTGAGGTCTACCCACTATCCTTCCAATCAAAGCGAATCAGCGCTCGGCGTCGTTCTGGCGTCACCGCCACCCCTGCGCAAGAAGCAGACGACTTGCTCTCCGTATAGCTTTATGTCTACCCACTAATCGTTCCAACCAGAGCTCGGCTTTCTCAGGTCCGCCCACACTCGCGTCTCCCCCTCTCACTCTCAATTTCTCGGCGCAACGCCTATGTGGAAGTGAAGTGAGGTCGCGGTTTCCCGGCAGTGTCCCGAGCATCTTCGTCCTTCAAACAGAACACGAGTAAAATAAAACTGGTGAGTGCTTTGTATTATGTTTATTATGCTATTTAATAAAGAGAGAGAGAGAAAATAAATTAATGATGATTGCAGATTAATTAAGGGTGAAGGGTCGATTCTCCGGATCCGTGTCCTGCCATCATCCTCAACAAATAGGAGCTGTCGATGTCTGTATTCTACTACTACACACTAGGGCTGGGCGCCGATTAAAAATTTGAACCCGATTAAATGACAACCTTCAATCGATTATTGTTTCGGTCATTCGTATCGATAATCGTTTTTTAAAAGTCAAAATTGTATACTTTGCTTTTCCTTTAAACTGTGATAAACGGCAAAATGTACAATTTCAGATTTCAAATAAACTTTTGTGTGTAGTTGGAAAAAAAAAGTCAAAAGACGCCCACTTACAAATTACTACCTCAACTGCAAAAGCAAGGAGGTTCGTTGATATTCTCCGTCAATAACGAACTCATTTTTATTGTTTACAATAGCCTTTGCTGCGCAAAACAAACACTCGCATGGCGTTGATGTGACTGAGGCGGTTATAAACTTCTCCACTTGTTTGAAGTTACAAATCTCACCCCAACAGCTTACTTTAGGTTAAAATTTCACCTTAATTTTACATTCATGCAGGTGTATTCGTCCACGTATTCGTATTGATACCGTTAAATTTAAATTTTTTCTTCGTCAAAATTGTTCCTTGTTAAAAAATGAATCGCGATTTAAGCATTAATCGATTAGTGGCCTTCCAAATAGTCACATAAAAAAAAGATATTTGGCGCAGTACTGATGTGCAGGGCGAAGTAGTTTTCAAAAGATTTGGTCGTCGAAGGAGCGAACAATGCTTTTCGTTCTTGAAACGTGTGCGTCTTGATAAGATAACACATCTAATGTAAGATGCGCGTTGATATATCTTAATTAAACGCATGACGGGGAAAATTAATAGTGTTCCGCAACGAGCCGGACATTTTTTACAACGTCTTTTGAGGTGAATACGAGTATGTAGTAAAAGAAAACGAAGAAATGAGCTGTTCAGTGCTACTCGGTCAAGTGTTTTGATGCGGAATGGTGCTGAAACGTTTTTGGAAGTGGAGCATTGAGTCTCGAGCCTATCGGTGGCCGGATGTAGCCGCGATAATAGAATATCTTTATCGCCTTCTACTGTGTCTACCCGTCTGGCAGCGAGTGAGCACTCCTGAAAGCGGTCCTCGCTTATGCTAAGTGCTTATGGAATCTTAGTGCG